GCATCAGAGCACCGGTTGAAGTCGTGAATGCATATTGCAAAGAAGATCGAGGAGGATTGTTGATCGTTCACCGTGACCTAGAGCTGAGCACTGGTGACTATGGGTTCAGAGCCTATATGGACTAATTGGCAATGTAGCGTACCATGACTACGTGCAATATCTCCTCACTCCGGAGGAATATCAAACCATATTCATGCTCGAGCGCAAGGACAGAGTGACCAAATCCGAACTCCCAGGTGACATTGTTGAATTCTGGTTAGGAGTCCTTGAACTGGCAAGCATCTTTCAACACAACCTTCTCAGCGATTGGAAGTGTATTGATGAATGCAGACGAGGAATTGAGATATATCTTTTCTCACATTCTATGCAGCAAGCCGGAGGAACATCAACGACAACACTCCCCGGGCAGCTACCCATCAGTCGATGAGAGGGATGAGATAGAGAGAATGATGAAGAGATATCCGAAACCAGAGATCATCAGCAGAATGAAACCCATAGGGGCACCGCCTCCTGAGGGGGAAACGACACAAGAAGAGGATGTGCAAATGGGTGAGGAGGAGCAACCGTCAGCGGCAACATCCAAGGAACCAGAATCAGAAGCACAACCCGTGTCCCCCGAAGTAGACCCTATGGACTACAAGGAAGGCGAAGGAAGATCGACATCACCGACGGCAACTTGGACAAATCCTCCATATTCAGGACCCTTCTCGGCGAAAGAGAATGAACCTTCTTCTTCATCATGGAAACAAACCTACGACAACATCCGAAGGGTGAAGAAGCGAGCTCAGGAAAAGAAAATTTGCCTCTGTTGTGGCTCAGATGGACATTCATTGGGAAATTGTGACAATGAGAACTTCGCAAAAGATAGGAAGAACATCGTAGAATGCTTCGACCACATCGAGAAGATCCTCAAGGTCAACTTCACGGATCGCGACGAGGAAATCGTCAAGAAAGATCAGGCCGAAAGGGAAAAGAAGAGAGCAAAGACTACAAAAGATGATGATGATGATGACGATATTGAGATGGAGTGCATCGACCTGCCTGAGGAGACAACTCAATTGGGCGGAGAGTCACTGACTCCTTCAGCTGCAAAGCAATCCAAATCGAAAGCATCAAGCAACAATGATGACTACGAGGAGGCTGTCAAATTCATGAAACGCTCATTTGGCAATCCAACAATTATCACCAGGTTCAACGAGCCCGTAGATATATGTACGATTGCGGACGAGCAGGAAGGAGGAGCTTTCAAAGTCATCAATCGAAGAGTGGATATGTCTGTACCGCTGGACAAGAGAGCACTTGATGGAATTTTGACCAGGGCACAAGCGGCAGGTTGCAAGCTACCAAAGGTATCAGAACTAAGAGACGATCCACTCCAGACACACAAGAATGCTTATCGACTGATTTGGCCAGATTGTGAGAGAGGCAACACATTGAAATCATCCCGCAATATGGCACTACCTTTTGCGTCGAGAAGTGGAATGGAGAAAGGATCAAACCGGTACGGGCTACCTTACTCCACCTGTACTTGACCAAGCAGAGTATATCCTCAAGGATACGGATGACTACACCACGGTCGACAACATCAGCAGGAAGCTCAACAAGTCCTGAGACATCAGACCTGGTCATTCCGGTAGATGCCATGACACTCTTCCTTGCATTGAGGGTGGATGGGTGAGCATCAATAATGTGTTCATGTACGGCAATTGGAAGAGATATTGACGACACGGTACTACCGATGTTGCCAATCCATGTGGTACTCGAAGAGACTTCAGAACCGTGTCAGATTCGAAATTGCCGCAATACGCATACCTGTCAGTGATGTTACGAATGATGAGCAAAGAGAATATTGGGAGAAGAACTACGGCGTGCCAAATGACATGAAGTACTATAGGGACAATGGCAGATGGCTATTTCCAGTAGCGATGAGAGCTGTGTCATCACACAATCTTGATTCGCGACAGTCAGAAAAGAATGAGAACGATGTTGTCCTTGACCCTCACCTCATCGCCGACAGCTTGGCCATCCAACTTGGTGGAAGTTTCCATGTGACGACTACTGGAAGATTACCATCTACCACGAAACATGGAATTCTACCTGGTGGAATCAAAGGTTCAAGGGGAAGTTCATTCTTCATTCATTTCGCACCGTGGGACAGCAGAGCAGGCACAATATTGAGATCAAAGGTCCCGACGTAGCCTTGTTTGTACCAATTGCCTCGGAGCCCGTCTTGCAGAGAGTTCATATGTCATCATGTTCAAGGAAGTGCCGTGGGACAATGTCAGAGGAGCATGGTACAAAGACCCAGTCAAGGACGAATGGAAGAGGTTACTAGTGAAAGGGGTTGCTAACCGCCTTATCACAGCAGCAAATTAACAAACCAAGATTGCGACAAAAGAGCAAATCCTGGAGAGGGCAAAAGAAGTTGTTGCGGGGAGCACGAGGAGAGACGACAACATTCGCAAGCTAGATGAGATCATCAATGATGGCGACGCCAAGAAGACGAAGATAGAGCCATGGAACGTCATCATCGCTCGAACTTGCGAAGGATACAACAATGTTGACGGCAACGTTCTCTGTCCCGCATGCATGGATGTTACACCAAACATCTTCACGATGTGTCTTCATTGCCATGGGCGGTTTCACAGCTGTGGAGTCAAGAACACCATTGCCACAAATACCACCATCGAGATTGACGACGACGAAGTGGAAGTGGTGGATGATGTCGAGATAGAACAAGCTGAGGATCCTGCCAAGGAAGAGCAAGAAACCATCAACAAAATGAAGATGGATGAGATCAAAACCGCATTGAAATCTCAGATAGAACAGGATGAAGAAGACGAGGAAATCAGTTTAGAATTCATCGATAACATGATGAGAAGATCAGACGCGCAAAAGGAAGAAGGTCAAGAAGTCTACACACCATCCTTTGATGCAGACCAAGTGGATTACGACAGAGATTCCCAAGCACCTGAGATCGAAGAAGTGATCGATGAAGTCGACGCAATCTATAGAATCACGACTGAGTTCCCGAAGTTCAGACAAGGTGATTGAAGAGATTGAAGCTACAGATCAAGAGATGGAACGCAAAAGCGAAAGAACCAATGAGGAAGATTATGAAGACGTTGGACCAAGATCCTTCGACCCAGAAGAGAACCTTGCCAATCATGAACTTCCAAAATGGTGCAGGTATCCAGGACCAATACCTTTTGACTTGCAGGAAGAAGCGGATGCCAAGATCCTGGGAAAGGTTCATCAGGACTCATGGGCAGATATGTTGTTCGATGTATGTGTCAGATGAATACACCTATGGACAATTCGGACCACCAGATGAGCATCGCAGAGTTCAAGCAACACTTCATCAGAAAGAGGCTCGATGTCATGTCGGACTTCACCAAAGGAGTTCACAATGGATTTGACAAGGATGACATGCCTATAGATCCGACTGAAGAGCAGATGCAGAAGTTCGCGGACTCAAAGTGGCTCATTCGCATAGAAGCATGGCACATGTTTCGAGGAGAACGAGCTATCGGAAGATTTGCACTGCAAGCAGTTGCGTTCGGATATACCCCTGTGACTTTCAAGGTCGAATTTGGTGAGAAAGATCAACACCCGCCGGGCACCGCCCAGGCTACGGTGGAAACAAGTAGAAAGTCAAAGCGAGACGCAATGTCCAGAATGGTCAGGAAGTGCGCAAGTGCCATCTATAATGTCACATCATATCGTCTTCCTATTTCCGAGACGACTTCAACAGCAACGACATGCACAAGTGCATTGACCCAGTAGACATTGTATACTCGAGACCCAAGAATATAGTGTTGGATCATGCCAAGGTCACTTTACCACCAATAGCGCAAAGTACTTTGGACGAGATGACCAAACACAAGGATGTCAGAGCTTTCGACCGTTGGAATAGCTTGTTGGAACCAGACCAAGTGCAGAGGCTGATGGATAAATATGAAGATTACGGAACACATGTGATACATGGCAAGAAGAGGACCAAGTATCCCAGCATTGCACCTGAAGTCGAACGTCCACCATCAGAAGCAGCTTCATCAAGTCACCATGGACAAACAAGAGAACCTCAACGGAAAGGGAAAGGAAAAGAAGGCGGAAAGAGCTCCAAAGGTCAAGGTACTTCCTGGCGAAAGATCGAATGGAATCATCGCAGTTGCAACACACATGGAACGACATTCAATGACGATCATTGGAACAACCCTCGTATCAGAGAAGCTCGTCAAGATTGGTACGAATGGGAACATGATCATGGAACGGAAGAAGGATAATATTAGAAGAAGATACCAGACGCTAAAGCAAGTTCAGTTCACGGTATATAGACCACTACCCTTGAATTTAAAGGGCTGTGTCCAAAGTTGAAAACATCGGACACATGGGGGGTGTCAACAGCAGTGGAGTGATGTGCATAGTATGTATCTGTGCAGAATAGTAATGCGTGACACGCCCATATTTGGCTCAAGACTCCCTTAGAGCAGCGGAGAAAAGGAACGCGCGCCACCGGAGGGAACCGGATAGTCTACTTACACTTCACGTTGAGCAGATTAATATCCACGCAGGTTATCAGCCGTAGCCGCTCTGAGGTTACAGCGTTATGTGAGGCATCAAAGACCATTCGTTTGCAACTGCCATGGGACAGATTCTCTGGGTCCATATAATCTGCTTGCAGGGGCAAAATGCCGACTTCAGAGGGCTGGTTTTCGTACCCGTTCCTTCTTTATATTAAAACCTGCCATTCATTGCCCCAACTCTTCGCAAGCGGGGTTAGTTCTTTGGTTCTTGAGTTTTTTAGAACGCAGGGGTCGCAGGTTGGATGCAGATGGGTGGAGCAGTTCCATGACTGAAGGGCAAAGCTCAGCTGCGCCATCGATGGTAGATTTTTGCCCTCTAGACACAGCGCGCGCTGCCAGCGAGCAGGTTCTGGTACACAACTAAAGCATGTCTCGAATTCGAATGGTTCAAGATCCGCTCAATTTTTGTTCGAGCTTCGAACCGATTCAGACTCCATTGTTGTTCGGGGAGTGTGGTTGCTCTATAGTCAATCATGCAGAAAGAACGACTTCTTATTTTGGCGGCCCTCGCCTGCCATGGCCAGTCGGGCAAAAATGCTATATTTACTGGTTACCTGTGCCGCCATTGCTTTTTTCATTGTCAGAGGCACGCCTGTGTGAAATAGCAATGTCTGTGTGAAATAGTCACGCGTTCATGTTGAAGTGTTCAAGGGGCAAGTTTGCTGCAACCCTGCAGGTGCAAATGTTGCCCCTTGGGGTGTTGCTGTAAGTGTATTTTCAATGGAGTCCACAAAGATACCTTCACCCTGGAACTCCTCCAACTCCTCAGTTGGCATTGTTCGCACTTCGGAACTTTCCACGGCGCCTCCAAGAACAACAAGAACAAGTCCAGAAGCCTTTGCTTTGAAGCCTTCCTTTGAAGCCTTTGAAGCCTTTGCTTTGCCCAGCACTTCTTCTGGCGGCGCCACAAGCACGAGTTCCACTTTTCCTCCCTCCACGAGTTCTGCGCCGTCGCCTGAGAAACGGCTCTTGGTGATGCACATCATCGAGCAACTGGGCGGGGCGACCAAGAAACTCGGAGCAACAGCATGAAGACGAAGGGAGCGATGGCGTTTAATGGCTCAAGACAAGAAATGACATTGCAGAAATTCGCAGAAATACCACGTGGCCACACAGCTCAGATTGCCGGATGACATCACACCGACTGCAGACTCTGCCAAATCAGAAGCCACCAGCCACAGATCACATGACCCCCTTGCATTTCACCTTATATCACCAACGGCCTAAATCCAAGCCCTTGCAGGGCTGCCAGCGATGCCTGGCAGATTTGACCTTGCGAGCAAAGTTTCACGAAAGTTCAACGCATACTCAACCGCAGGCTCAATGGTAGCGGAGCTCTAGTGGCAGCCCCACTAACTCCAAGGGACCCTTTTGGCATTTTGGGAAGATAAGCCACCAGGTGTACGCAGCTCATCAAAGGCCCAGGCGAGCTGGTATTTGGGCCACGATCATGGCGGGCGCTGAGGAAGAACCCTCACTGCAAGCTGGAAGAGGCGCAAGTTCAGGCTTCACAGAGCACCTCAAACCTCCCACCTTGTTCCAGCCAGAGAATAGAGGAGATTGCCGCTGTTGTTGCAGCGCAAGATGTGGAGGCTGCGCGTAATGTATTAAACTCTACGAGCAAATGAGTCAGAGGTGGATGAATGAAGGTGGCTTGCAAAGTGATGGCGAAGCCCATGACAAGGGAGGACAAGGGAGGCCCTATGGAGGTCGACGCAGACGGCGCAAGAAAGGAGGAAAGGAGGCAAAGGGCTTCAAAGGACAAGGAACGTACGAGGGAAAGAGTTCCTTCCTGGTCGAGAGATGGAGTAAAGATGAGGAAAGAAAGGTGGAAAAGGCAAAGCGCTAGGAGGAAAGAGAGGCAAGGGCCCAGTTATGCCCAGTTGCTGCGCGCTTCAATTGTGGCTAAGAGCCATCTTGCGCGTGATCCAAGAAGATCCAAAAAGTAGAAGAAACTGAAGGACAAGGGCAAGAAGCAAAGAGTGCAGCAGGGTCAGGACAAGCGCACGCACGCCACTTAGAAGATTCAGGCAGAGGCCGAGGAGGAATTTATATAGCCTCAGAGTGAAGAGGAGGAGACACCTTTTGCTCCATCAATCAAGCAGACACAATGCGCTGAGAAGAAGGAAAGCCCTTTGCAAATTTGCGTCGCGAAGAACGTCCTTGGAACCACCTTTCAAGGGTTGATGTTTCAGTTGCTTCTGAAGAGTTCTACAACGTTGGAACACCTGGAGGAGGCAGGACAGTTCAGATGGTGGATGCACAAGCAGGCGCCTACATTTACAAGCCAAAAGCTGAGATGGTGAGACAGTTGAATTCATTGAGCAGTTTGCGCTTGGAGTGGGCGTCACACACCCACTTGCCAAGGTTGCGAAGATCCTTGCGGGCTCTTTGGCGACGGACGTCAAAATGTGCGCAGTACGCGCAGAGGAGGCAGATGAGGAGAAGGCTGCAATCCCAGAGGCAGAAGGTGAGAGAGGAGCGGAGGATGAGAAGGAGAGGAGCACAGTAGAATCTTAGAAGGCGCAGTGGACGAGGTAGCTAGTGAGGAGGCAGGGCGAGAGAAGAAGCGCCCACGTGAGGAGAGTCAAAAGACAGATGATGAGCAAGGCAACGCAAGGGTGTATTGCCCAACGAGGAGCAGGAACGCAGAGACGCGGCCCACAGGACAGTCACCAGGGTACACCGCGCGCAGAAGCCTCTGGTGAGATTTCAGTAAAAGGAAGCAGCAGTGAGGATGGCGAGATCCAAGAACGCCTAGCAAGATGGGAGCGTTGGAATTTCAAGGTGAAGGAAGTGAAGAAGGAGACAGTAAAACTGTCATATACACAAAAACAGAAGTTCCAGTTGCAGGCAAGCCAAGACCTCTTCGTCTGTATGTCTCTCAAGTCTGCCCAATCAAATTGCGCGGCGTA